TTTGGTTGTAATTAAGATTATTATTGGCAAGTCTGCCTTCTACTCTCAGAAGAGAATCATTATCAAGAAATAGTCATAAAAATTTTAACTTACTTTTGGAGGAAACCCAATTCTTATTTTTTAAAGATAGAATATCCTTGCTAAAATGTTGTAACTGTACATACCTGATAATGATTTTCTCAGCGTCATCCAATTCTTTAACAGTTAGAGAACCTATTAATTTTTTTCCCTTACAATTGGCTATAAATCTACAAACAAAACTTAACACATGAATAATACAAATATAGTTATTACTAATGTTAAGAATATGATCTAAAACAAAAGAATTGGAGTTCATATTTAGATTAACTAAGTCATTATCCTTAAGTTTGAGTTCTTTGACATATTCCACGTAGATGAAATTACTTCACAAGGATTAGTCAGAAACCTCTCCTTAGTCAAGAAAGTTGGTACCATTAATCATTATGAAGAAAATCTTTAGGTTCTTACCACCATAAATCATTATGAAGAAAATCTTTAGGTTCAGCTCCACGGGATATCAAATCTGCTGAATTATTGTGAGTGCTAACATGGTACCACTTATGAACAGCAGTCATGCTGCGAATAACAGGTACTCTATTGGCAACAAATGTCTTTAGTTGATAAGGTTTCTTCTTAATCCATGATAACACTATTGATGAATTAGTGAAGTAATACACTTTGACTATAGGCAGCTGAATGGCCTCTAATATTCTTTTGATTAGTTTTACCAACAGAACTGCACCACAAAGTTCCAAACGAGGAATGGTAATTGACTTCAGAGGTGACACACGAGACTTGCTGCACAGAAGTCTTGATGAACATTCATTTGAAGTTGACATACATTTCACATAAACTGCAGCACCATAGGCTTTCTGACTAGCATCACAGAATACTATAATTTCTATGTGCTGTAATCCATTGGTTAGAACAAATCTGGAGATGTGATAATCGTTGACTATTTTGAGACTATGCAAAAATGCCTTCCATTCTTCAAAGTAATGTTTAGGAAGAGGTGTATTCCAATTTAATTTTAGAAGCCAAAGGTTTTGTAGAAATATTTTAGCCTTTGTCGTAACATGTCCAATTAAACCTAATTGATCAAAGAGGTGACCTATTGTTGATACACATCTCTTTTCGTTCCTGTTTCTTCAATGTCAAGTATCTTTAAATCATAAGAAAAACGGTCTGTAGACGTATTCCATGACATTCCTAAGGCCTTTTTAATCTGAGGCTTATCCATAACTTAAAAGGAGTAATCCTGAGTTACACTTTCTTTATTCTTCAATAATTCTGTATTATTTGAACACCATTTGTGTCTGCAACTCGTTGGCTTCTTGCAGCGCATTAGCTCCAGTGATAATGTCGTCCATGTAACAGTCCTTCAGTATGGCTCTTGAGGCATGAGGAAAGTCAGTTGCTTCATTCATAGTTAACTGCTTCAGGACCCTTATTGCGAGGAATGGTGCACTTGCTGTTCCATATGTTACAGTCTTTAGATGATAAGTCTGCACAGGACTACCAACTGATTCTTTCCACAAGATCAACTGCAGATTTCATTGAGATGGTTCAATAAGTATTTGTGTGTACATCTTGTGAACATCAGCTCCTAATGCATAGTTGTACTTTCAAAATCGAATAATAATAGAAAATAAATCTTCTTGAGGTATTCGCTTTTTCATTAATATTGAATTAAGTGGTTTTCCATTACTAGTAGCCACTGATGCATTAAACACAACGTGAAGCTTGGTAGAGGTTTTCTCTGGCTGATAAACTCCATGATGACTAAGATAATTGCAGGTTCATGTTTCAACTTCTTGAACTGCTTCCATGTGATTTAGATCCTTATATTCTTTGATAAAATTCTTATATAATGTTTTCATATTTGAATCGCTTTCTAGTCGATTCCACACTTAATGATTTCTTTTCTCAGCCAGCATTTTCAATTCTCCTAAATCTACATCTTCCCTTATGGGTAACTGAACTACATATTTTCCATCATTTTGTCTATAGTGAGTATGCTTGAAATGTTCTTCACAGTAGTTTTCTTCTTTACTCAATATTTTCAATGTTTTTCAACTTCCCAAAATCTTTGCAAAATTTCTTCAACTCTTTCTTCACTATTTAGAACTAAACATGCATGCGAGTAACGAGTAACGGTTGATTTTCTAATTGAAATTTTCCTTGTTTTAAAATCTCAATGAACAATTCGGTGTCTAATAACATATATATTTTGTGAGGCATTCCAAATTGCAGATCTGCTAATTCAATATCAATGGGAATATTTAATGACTGCACATCTAAACTCCATCATTGGTTATTTTAGAAATAACCAAACAATTAACTGATTTTATGTATGTTAAATCCTTATTCGAAATCTGTACATCTAGTTGATAATTAGTATTTATAATGTTCTCTTTTCTCAGATGCATAAATTTTTTCTTTCTTTATATTTAACAAATTAACAACTCCTTCATACAGGAAACAACTCATGCTGCCTGAACTGGAATTATTTTTCCTTCTGAATTGCAAACATATACTATTGCAGTCACCAATAACATGTTTTTTTGTTTTTTTTTCTTTTTTTCTTTTTCTTTGTGTCAAAAGACAACTTGTTTGATTTTTATTAAAGACATCTGCATTCTTGTTTATAATTCTGTCACTGGTTGCTTCCGTTTTTGTTTTGTCTAACTGTTGATCCATGGGGTCATTTCTTGAGCAGGGGATGAATTAATGAATGATGTTTTTTATGGCATTGGGAACATCTGAACTTAGAATTGCATTTTGCGATTAAATTAAATTTTCCGTACTGAGACAGTTTAAACACAATTTATGGTTTTTAACTATTTCATATCTTTGATTTTTATTTAATTTAAAAAATGAATCATATTTACCCAGTGGATGATTATTATTTTTACATGTAACACAAGTCAAAACACTATACAACACACACCTTTGATTTCGAACTTTTTTCTAACAGATATTTCACTTTATCAGTATTATGGTTAATGTTATCCAATAACTAACATCTTTTCTCTAAAAGTGCAATTAATTCATCAAACGTAAGAACTTCTGTAGCATTAATGCTTAATTAAAATTGTTCGCGTGTTTCATAATCTAGTTTCTGAAGTACGATATTTAATAACAGAATATCCAATAAATTATTTTCTCATATTTTAAAACATTCAAAGCCCTAAAGTTTTTCTTAACATTATCTATTACGTATCTTATCCCTTTAGACGATTCGAATGCTAAAGTACGTAAATCCATTATTGACTTTATATGCGTCTCAATTAATATTCTTTTATTTTCATACCTATCTTGAAGAGTTTTAAATAGAGAACTGAAAGTATCATCAACAGTTTCAAGATTTTTTGCTTCATCAGTTAATGCAGCCTTTAACTAGTAGAGTTTTTGAACTTCTGTCAGTTGAGTGTTATTAGCTATGATGTTTTTGAATTGAAGCTTAAAATTACCATTCGGTATATTTACCAGAAAATTTAGGAATTGGTAATTCTGGCAAACGTATTTGTACTTTAGAATCAAATCTTCTACATCAAAAAAGATGAAGAATTGAGAAATGCTGAAAATGCTTTACATGAAATTTATAATGCAGATGAAATAGGACTGCATTACAAAACTATTATCAGAACACACATTAATATTTGAAAATGAAACAGCAATTGGTTTAAGAAACTGAAGGAATATGTTACAGTGTTATTAATAAATAATATGACCCAAACAATTAAGAAGACAACACTTGTTATTGACAAAAGTGGAAAACCTCAATGTTTGAAAGGGGCCAAGAATATACTTTAAACTTGCCATAGCAAGAAGGAATTCATTGATGGCAAATATTATAGGACATCCTCAGTGTTTGGGAACAGCAAGTGTTTTTATTTGTCTTATAGTTGGTACTGTTAAGTGTTAAAACACCCATCATTTTTATGCCCTTATTTAAACACCAGGCATGCCAAATTTTTGTCTAAGAGTCCATTGTCTATCTCATATAACCTAAAAACTGATAAAAGGAGTATTGAATGTGCAACTGAATTTGAAAACAAGAACTGATTATATGATTCTTAGGGGATGTAACTGCTTATTTAAATGCATCTTTAATGCAAGAAACATCTGATAAATAATCTTTTAAAGGTTGAAAATTTTAACAATTTTATGGAAATTTCAGTTGTTCATAGCAATAACTTCAATCATTTTGGAAATCTATCTGGAAGAAGTCATACAAATAGTAAAACATAAGTGATGTTGTCTGATTATCAGAAGACTTTGATAATGTATTTCAAAATTTCATGAAGTAGAACCTGTTTCTAAGTTGTATACCTATAAATAAAAATTTTCATCCTAACCATTTCCTGTTAGCAAAATCTCTTTCTGAAGCTTTTTTTGAGATGAATTATTTTATCAAAATAAAGAAAAAATATTTTAAAAGCAAAGTAAAGACAAAAGTCTTGAATATATTCTTTGCTGTTGCTACCATTCTGTGAACTTAGTTTGAGGATGTACTTGTAGTCAAAAGTAGACTAAATGCTAACATTAAAAATATATTTGTCTTCTAAATAAAGACATACTGATATTTTTTTTTAAATGGGGGACATAATATATATATATTTTCTCTTTATAAATATTCTTTAGATTAAGTAGTAAATGTAATTTAGCAGCCAAAATAATAAAAGGGCCTGTGCATGAGTTGTTTAATAAATATTTAATTCTGTGTCTGGTCTTTGATTCATATCTGTCGGCCCTTACTGTCCAGAAATTCCAGAAGTTTGGATACCTATGCCATGGATATTAACCTGCATGAATGAATGAAAAGTGTGAAATTTTTCATGAAATATTTTACAAAATGCTGTTAAGTAGCAAGTTTCTTCCCTCCTCTCTACTTTTCTGTGTTATGTGTGATGCATTATTTTCTTCTAATTGCAGTTTAAATTTTTATGCTGGAAATTAATTAAAAATTTTCACAGGAAAGATTCTAAAGTCCTAGGAGAAAAATGGACCAAAGGAATCCCAGTTGAAGTTATACCAATGGCTTATGTTCCAATTAAAATACGTTTAGAATCCATGGGTGGTATTGCTGAATTGCGTATGGCAAAGGCTAAAGCAGTAGGTGCTGTTTATTTAATGATTTATCAATGACTTTTTTAGGTTCGCTGTGTGAGAGTATTATGTGCATCATAAGAATAATGAATAAAACACAGGAATAAATGTTTCTTTTTTGGTAGAAGGAATCTAATTTTGAAGCAAGAACTTTTTATTTATTTATTTTAAAGAATGATCTAATTTACTGAAGCTTATTATATAAATTTATAACTAAAATGGCATTTTCTAAACATGAATAAAATTACTTTATTAGCTTACAAGAATCTTATACATGAAATGAAATTTCTCTTCCAAGATTAGTATTCCATAAATATTTTCTTTTGAATTTTGTATATCGCCCATAATTTTCTGTTGTATTTTACATTTTACTTGTACATTAAGACCTATAAGGGACAGAATTTGATGTTGCTTCCAAAGTTTTCATGTGTGACAAATTTGCTACCTTTCAGACATTAATCTTTTGCTGTTTTATTATTGCTGTTTTGTTGCTTTATAGCCTATACAAAACTCAGGCAGTACTTGCTTTGATATTAAAATTTTTTTTTAGACTAAACAATCTATCATGATTTATATATAGTTGCTTACTGTGTATGTACTTGGTATTCTCTGAAGGTATTCATAAAATTCATTTTTCCGTGAAAATATTTGATTGTTTTGTTGTAAACACAAATTATGAACATAAATTATGAACACAAATTTTGAATTCCTTAACTTTTTTCATAATTTCAGTTTTTGAATATATTTACCAAATGTACATATTGAAGCTTCTTGAACTTAATTGTTGCAGTTTAAAAGGTGATGCTCTAAAATTGCTATCTTTTTTTTTTGCTTTTTTAGTTTTTCTTCTTTTTTTTTTTTTTTTCTTTTATTTTATTTTTTTTAATTTTTTTTATTTTTGATAGTTTTTTTATATTTCTAACAAAAACCATTTTGTAACGGAGTTAATTATAACCTGGATTTTGTGATACCATAGCTGTTTTTAGTAGCATAATAGTTTTTTTTTTTTTTCCTTAAAAAAAAGCAGGGGAACTTTTATTTATTGTATTATCTGCCGATGCCTTAATAATAAAATCTTTCATGTATCTCAAAGTTTCCTTTAAAGCGGAGAAATAAATTTTCTATATCTAGTATCTTCTTTGCTTTCATTGTTTAGTATTTTTAGTTGTTCTACAATCCACCTAATTTTTACCAAACAAATCAGATGCTGTGTTAAATTAGTATTTAAATTCTAGTATTAAGAAGTAATATTGTAGCTACAGTACTTATGTTTGTTCATAGCCTAAAATAATTTTAATTTAAGTTTTTGAATAGCATATGTTTCTGCAAACATTCCTATTAATAGTGTTTTAGTTTTCCAGTATTAAAAGTAAGTATTTTAATATTTCAATATAAAAAATTTGAAAGTATTTGAGAATTACTATTTATTACAAAAAACTAGCATTATATACTATAGTAGAATTCTGATAATTAACGGATGCTTGATCTCCAAACACCAGTAATTTGTGTTCAGTTTTAAATGTGAACAAGATTAGATTTTTGAATTATGGCATTGGAGAACTATGCATATCATGGAAGATGTTTTAATAGAAAATTGGTTCATATTTGTGATACACATAGGAAAAATCATGAAAACTTCCATACAGCCAGCCTGTTCACTGGGATTTAAACTTGAATTAAAATAGTATTAGTCTTCAACAGTTTGACTATTCGTCCATCGGTGGGCCTTGAATCTGAGCAAACAGAATTTTTATTTTCAGAAAATTCAGTTGGCAATTTAAACAAATTTTCTTCTTACACACACATACACATATATATATGAAGATAAATGTTTTAACAAAAATACACTTATTTATAATATATTTTTATTGAAAAAAAGGGACTTAAGTTATTTAGCATTTTCTGTACCCTTATTATTATGCTTTCTTTTTAAATAAAAAATGAGGATCGTTAATCTCGGTAATTTTTTTGTTTTAGATAAATTTGTACTTTTTCATGCATATTCTGTTATATATTTAATATCAATACTGAATTTTTGTTTTTAATTGATTTTAAAATTGGCATGTATCAAAAATTTATTTGTTCATAGCTTTTCAGATGTTGCTTTCGAACTTAAGTGCACTTTACAGCCACTTTACATCAGAAACAAATAGAATAGATTCTTGAAAATAGCTCTTGTAAATATTTTTCTAGCGTTAAAACATAAAAACATGGCAACGAAGAAAAAGGTTGAAGAACTAAAAGTGTTTTTTTAAATAAACCCCAAATTTCAAATCTCTTTATTTTGTACCATTAATAATCCAATTATGCATGTAGAGAACAAAATGACATAATTAGAACAGGAATTCAGGTAAATCTGTTATTTTTCTGTTTAAAACGGTGCTTCTTGCCAAATGTACGACAAATTGGAAAATGAAGTAGACTATATTGTGTCATGTATAATGCAATGACATGAACATCTGCAAATTAACTACAGATACAGTGTTGCTGATTCTGATATGGGATGTCTCATGCAAAATAGTGAAATGTCAGCATGGAACTGGCTGCCACCATCTGCATTGCAACTTCATCAAATTCATGTTGTGGCAATTGCATGAAAAAGGGCAAATGTTTTGGGCAGTCTTAAAGGAAATCAACAGTTTTACATTTCCTGTATAATCTGAAATTGGTTATAAATTTATTTTCCATTTTAATTTTTTAAATATTTTTTTCTGGATTTAATAGTCACTTTTCATGAAGCTTTAAATATTATTAGGATTGCTGCCGTCTCGTTAGATTTCTTACCAATGTTTATGTTTGATGCTAAGTGGCATTCCATTGACATAAAAGTACCAGAAATCCTTATATTAAGAATGTCTTAAGTAGTGTATATATTTTTTCCTTCCCACTTAAAGCGTCATAATTATTTTAAAAGCAATTTCATTGGTGAATGTACACTGCGCAAACAAAAAAAAGAACAGTTCTCTGTCTCCCGTTCTACCTGGCCGATTGACAAAATTTAAATTGCATTCTTCATGTCTCGAAAGTGCGACTTAGGATATTATAGATAGACGTATATTAGATTTATATATAGCACTATTCTAACATAGGTATTTTGACACAAAAATGAAAGTATTCTGAAATGACATGCCGATTTTCTCCATATTTCGATTTTACGACTCAAATTATGCCTAAGTATTAAATTTCGTAAAATTTGGTGCGAAATTTACAGAGAAATTCAAAAATTTGTGTTGGCTCTTTTTTTTTTTTTTTTTTTTTTTTTTTTTTTTTTTTTTTTTTTTGTTTTTTTTTTTTTTTTTTTTTTTTTTTTTTTTTTTGTTTTTTTTTTTTGTTTTTTTTTTTTTTTTTTTTTTTTTTTTTTTTTTCAGTTTGCACCAAGAATAGTTCACTTGGTGAACTTCTTAATGTATGGCAATCTATTTTCATTTTCCTTTTTACATTGTGCGTGACCAGAAAAAAGTGACAATTGTTCCTTCTTTCAAATAAGGTTCTTTATATTATATTTTTAATTATAATTGTTATTAAGTAGTTTTTTCTTTTTTGAATTTCATTTTAATTGTTTAGGCTGATCTTTAGAATATGGTAACTGGTAGTTTGGCGAAATTTTGGAGGCGATAAAGGTTACTACCTGGGACTTTGGTAATAATGTGAGCAGTACTCAGTTCCGATTACGCATTATTTTGTGTGAGGGAAATGAGAGATTGTGGGATATGTCATGTGATATTAATGGACGAATTACGGTTCTTTAATCGGAAAAGGGGGGAATTTGGAAAAATATCTGTGGCTGTATATTATTTTGTATTAAGCTTCATTATGTGTTGTGTAAAGTAGGGTTCAATAATTTTGGGATTGTATGGCGCTGTCTAAAGTGAAGGTTTTAAACATCTTGCTGTGATTTAGCTTAAAATAACAAATATTATTTTAAAGCTCCGGAAACAGGTGCACATACCAATATAATAGAGGGCACGTGGAGTGCTATAAAAAGCGCCATTTCGAGGCATTGTGATAAAGAGAATTTTGCTTTTTATTTAGTGGAGGAAGTGTAGAGGAAAAAAATTCGCAGGAAAAAATCGTTCAATAATTTTTTATTGAATTCATAAAATAAAGTGTATCCACCACATGTAAGCAAGATTCTGAAGAAGATTAGGTAAGTTAGTATTTTTAATTATTTGAGGATATTATTTTTATGCATTGTTCTAAATGTAAGGTGGAAGTAAAGTAATTTAGTTTTATTGGGAAAATTGTTATTAGCAATGATTTAGTTTAAAGTAATTAGGATTGTAAGCTAATTTTTATGAAATTAATGTATGTGCTTTTTTATATTTCAGGTCGTGTTTTTGAATTAAATATATTTTAATTAAATGATAGTTATTTTGTGAATTTTATGTTTGTAGGAACTTGGTATATGTTTTAGTTGAAGTAAACATGCATGGAAATAATTTAAATATTTGACACTAAGTATTTGTAATGTTTGCGGTATGAATTCGTTGGTGACGTTTATAATATAATAGATAATTTAGAGAGGTAAAAGTTTTTGGGATATTTTATTTTATTTTATACGTGGAAATGTTCATATTTGCAAAGGGTATATACTTTTTCGTTATTAGGTAATTTCATATATGTTCTTTTTTTCGGGTTTAAAGATTCAGAAAATTGTCATGCATTTTCGTGAAATTTTTCTAATTCATGAGAAAAAAGCAGTGTACATGGATATGATGAAGAGTGTGCGCAATGCCATTTTTGCGCAATTCTGGGATTTTTTTTTAAGTAAAAATAAGTCGACGTGTACATGGTTTAGTGATATTTTTAATTAAATGATAGTTATTTTGTGAATTTTATGTTTGTAGGAATTTGGTATACGTTTTAGTTCAAGTAAACGTGCATGGAAAATAATTTAAATATTTGACCTAAGTATTTGTAATGCTTGCGGTATATGAATTCGTTGGTGACGTTTTATAATAATAGATGATTTAGAGGTAAAAGTTTTTGGATATTTTATTATTTAT